GAGTCATGTGCTTTCACAAAAAAGAAGACCATGAGTACAAGGTACAGTCAACAGTGATGGGGAACAGACAAGGACAGGGTTGAAGAACTCTTTCAACAAAAGGCAGGTATGTGTTTGTGAATGATATATGCATGACCATAAGTGTGTGTGTGTGTGTGTGTGTGTCCTCACCCTTTGAGCACACATGTAGACCAGGAATATTCATCAAATGCTTTTATTCCTTAAATATTTTGCTTGTTTTTTGAGACAGGGTTTCTCTGTGTTTACCTGGCTGTTCTGGAACTGGCTCTCTAGACCAGGCTGTCTTTGAACTCACAGAGATCTGCCTGCATCTATCTCCCCACCCTGAGGCAAAGGGGTGCTCTACCACCTTAAGTTTTTGAGACAGGGTGTCTCGCTGATGTCAGGCCAGCAAGCTCCCACACCTGTTCCTGGTGCGGGAGAATTATCTGTATTCTGTCAATCATATTTTAATAAAACGCTGATTGGCCAGGCAGGCAGTATAGGCGGGAAAGCCAGACAGGAAGTAGGGGTGGAGCAAAGAGACTGGGAGTATTCTGGAAGCAGAAGCTCTCTCTCAGCCACTCCTGCACAGACCACCGAAGAGGCAACATGTAAGCTGTCACACTGAGAAAGGTACTGAGCCCATGTGGCTAAAATAGATAAGGATAATGGGGTAATATATGTTATAAGAGCTAATAAGTAGCCTGACCAAATGGGCCAATCAGTTTATAACCTTATGGAGTCCTGTGTGTAATTTCTCTTTGGGATTTGCCGGCTGTTGGGGTACCGGGCGGGACGGAAACCCCAACAAGCCGGCCCTCATGTTACATGTTCCCTTCCCCAGCAGGCGAAGATGACAAGGATGCTGACTTGTCCTGTTGTCACACAGTCCTGTCCGCCCATCTCGCCAGCCCTAGTCTCCAGATCTGATAGTTCAGAATATTTAGAATCTGCATATTCTTTTGGAGACAGGTTTCCACCCAGCCTGGAACTCACTCATGCATACCGTGGCCTGAAGGTTTTCCTATTTGGGAAATGGAGATTTAAAACAAACACTTGGGGAACCTGGTGGCCTATCTTCAATGCCAGCACTCAGGAGGCTGAGACAGGAGGATCTCTGTGAGTTTGAGACCAGCCTGGTCTAGAGTAAGTTCCAGGACAGCTAGGGCTACACAGAGAAACCCTGTCTTGAAAAATATTCTTCCCCTGGGCTGAAGAGACGGTTCACTAATTAAGAGTACTAATTGCTCTTCCAGAGGACATGGGTTCAGTTTCCAAAGCCCACATAGAGTCTAACAACAATCTGTATCTCCAATTCCAGAGGATCAGATCCTCTTCTGGCCTACCAGGGCACTGTATGTAGCTGTACCTTTACACACATGCAAGCAAAACCAGCAAAATACATATAAAAATAGAGGGGGGAGGAGTGGGAGGCAAGAGATTCTTTTTCTTTTTGAAAGAGCAATCTGGGCTGGACAGATGGCTCAGCAGTAAAGAGCTCCCCCTGCTCTTGTAGATGACTGGAGTTCTGTTGCCAGGCTCATGTTGCGGGCCTTTCACAACTTCCAGTAACTCCAGCTGTGGGGGATTCAATGCTGCCTTCTGAGCTATGTGAGTAACTGCACTTGTGTGCAACAAACACACATATACATAATTTTAAATTAAAAAAATCTAAAATGCAAAAAAAAAACCTCTGTCCTTGCTTCTCTGCCAGAAACTGAAGTGCACTTCTCGCTCTCGACCGTTTCGCTTCTGTGTGTGGCATCAGATCTCCAGAGGGAGGCAGCCACTGTACAGCAGCCCAGCACATTCTCATGCTCTTCAACATCATCCCCAGACATTTTCTTCTAATTATGAAGGGTTTTCTTGCTAATTATTAAGTCCATATGTATTTCAAGAGGAATTCTACCCTCGTTTGCTTCATTCACACTCAATCCATCATGGTTACTTTTAGGAGCTATTTGATGTTCAAGAAGCCATTAGAACCCCCATAAGGCTCATTTCTGAAAAAAAAAGGATGTGGGTAAAATTAAGCAAAACCAAATGTTAATAAAATCCTCAAAGAATAAACAGAACGTTATTGAGAAAAGTTATGATGCGCTGTTGGTGCTCCCCAGACTCCATAGAAATCTGTGTGACTGGAGAGGCCTCACATCTTCACTCCACATTTTCTCCCCTGGAGAGGGGGCCATGGAAAGACAAGAAAAGGAATAGTTTGGCAAGCACAGAAATGTTTGGCATGCCGTGTCCAGCAAATGCAAATCTGGCTGTTCTGAAAACCCTCGTGCTACAGAGCACAGAAACTGTTTATTGCAATATCATAAAAGCACTATTTTAGGTGCACACTGAACTCTTAAGAAAGCAGAAGTCCAGGTTATTTCTGTTTGACTTTCTCTTTCTCTGTCCAAGGATGAAAAAAATAGAGGATCCTAAAACTGGAGGAGAAACACAAACTAGATGGGTGAGGAACTGGAGGGCATCGGTCATGCAGTCATCGAGAACCTGACGCTTGGATTTTAGAAACTGTCATAGTATAAAAAAAATATATTCTTTAAAAAAAGCCAATAAACAATAAACAGCAAAATGCAGGGCCAGAAAATGAAGCAGGAAATTGGTGGATTCCCAGGAAGAACATGGACTTTTGGTCAGAGAATGAACTAGACTTTTTCTACCATCATATTCACATGAGAAGGACACGTGACTCACACTCTTGCTCTATAGGAAAACAACATCTTTCTTAAGACTATGCCATCATAGTCTTAATGCCACCAGGTATTAGTGGCACACGCCTTGAATACCAGCACTCCAGAGGTATAGACAGGCAGATCTCGGAGTTCAAGGCCAGCCTGAGCTACAGAGTGAGCTTCAGGACAGCCAGGGCTGTACAGAGAAACCCTGTCTTGAAAAACAAAACAAAAAACAACAGCAACAAAAAGAATGTTGCCACTTCCCATGCACACGTGCATGTACACATTAAGCTAAAAAGTTGGCAGTATATGAAGACCTTTTATGAGAGCAAATAGCAAACCTTTCTGGGGTAATAGACTTAATTCAGATAACAGAAAATCTTCACTGATAAAACTATATCAAAATTAACCTTCTGGAGTCAGAGAAATAGCTCATTAGTTAAGAACACTCCTTGTTCTTACAGAGCATCAGGGTTCAGTTCCCAGCACCCACCTGGTGGCTCACAGTTGTCTGTACCCCCAGTTCCAGGGCATCCAATACCCTCTTCTGGCCTCTTTAGGCACTGCATGTACATGGTACACATACATACCTGCAGACAAACCTCACACATATAAAATAAAAATAATACAGAAAATTCTTTTTAAAATGAGCCTTTATTATGAAATATAACTTTAAAATGAAAAATGAAAAAACTTCAATAAAACAATCTGTGAGTCAGACCCTGAGTTTACTCTAGAACTGGGGCAGAAAACTGTGATGCTGAAGACATCACCACGAATGATAACAGAAGCATAAATAATGTGCTGTGGAGTTCAGTGGAGAAAACAAGCTGACCTATTGAAGGTATGGGAGAAACTGGAACCCGAGGAGGAAGAGGAAAGACTTCTCAAAAAGAATGAAACAACTGCAATGTTATTTTTGTTTAGAAGAATTATCTACTAGAATGGCGATACTGTATGTTGAGAAAACAGGAACCTGAGAAGCATGAGACAAAGAAGAGAAGTCGCAGCATACACAGAAGAAAAGCAGGAGACATAGAAGAGAGACTGCCGCATGCACAGAGAAGAGATACTGCCGCGTGCACAGAGAAGAGATACTGCCGCATGCACAGAGAAGAGATACTGCCGCGTGCACAGAAGAAAAGCAAAGGCAAACGCCTCCACCTGGAACAGTTAAACTGGCGTGACTATAACACCATTGAAAGGGAATTTGAAGTACAATTTAGGAAAGAAGACAGCAAGAGGGCCTTGGTCATTCACAGTCCTGGAAGGGATGTAGATACTCTAGAGGGACACTTATACTCCTCCCGTTGCCTATTAGAAGCAATGGACTCTCCCAGGGAATTGAAATTTCCCCAGGAACCTCTTGCATGGGGACAAGAAAGGGAACAAGAAAGGCTGAATTCCCAGTGCCAGGTGGAGGAGGATGGCTTCCAGGAAAGGATTTTACACATTTTTGACAAATCCACCACCTTGCAGGACAGAATGGAGCCTCAGAGGATGGTGGGTCAATGATTGGCAGGACTACACCATAACCAGGACTGTATTCTGTGACGATATTTTGTTTGTGCTCTAACAAACGAAGCTTGTCTGGAGATCAGAGTGGGGAGCTAGTTATGGTTAACTAGCTAATAGTTAACCACAGAGGCCAGTCAGTGGTGGCCCACACCTTTAATCCCAGCCCCTGGGAGGAGGAGACAGGAAATGATGCAGCTGGCCAGAGAGAAGTGATAAGGTAGGGCAAAGACAAAAGTTTGGTCCCTTGCCACTGAGAAGTTGGCGAGGTAAGGGGTGGCTGGGGCTTGCGCCTTTGTTTCTCTGAGCTTTCAGCATTTAGCCTGATATCTGACTTGCAGTTTTTATTATTAAGCCTAATTAGAATTCGTGCTACATCTGGTTTCCAACTTTAGGGCATGAATTCATGAAGAAGCTGCTTCCCTGTGGCTGTGCAGCCACCAGCACAGGCCATGCAGCCAGGGTCACCACCCCACCAGCTAGGTTTTCCTTTCCTCTTTTCCCCAAGTCCTCTGAGCAGGTCTGAATCTTTCTGTTACAGCCACTCTGCAGTGATGTGGGCTGTCCTTCTGTATATGTGTTGCTATTATTGGTTACTGAATAAAGCTGTTTGGGCCAATGGCTTAGCAGAGTAAAGCTAGGCAGAAATCAGAACAGAGAGATAGAGAATATAGACAGAGTCAAAGAGATGCTATGTGGCTGCCTAAGAAGCAAGAGCTAACAAACCACGAGCCTTGTGGCAATATATAAAATAGTAGAAATGGGTTAATTTAAGATATAAGAGTTAGTTATAAATACGCCTAGGATATTGGCTAAACAGTGTTGCAATTAATATAAATTTCTGTGTGATTATTTGGGTCTGGATAGCCGGAAAATGAATGAGCAGTCTCTACCTCCACTGCAGCAAACTCCGCAGGCATTTGGGCTCCAAATGCTGCAGGTGCTAGCAGCTTTCACGTGTTCCCCCAGGTAGACGGCTGTCTCTTTGGCTTCTTTTCTCCTGGTGGGTTGTGGGCTCTCCCTGGATCCCTTCTTGGGCTGTTCCCAAACTAGGTAGCCATCTTGAAACCCACTGCAGCTTCTACTGTTCTGTGGAGCAGCAGCCAGCTTCACACTTCACTGTCTTCTGGATCATCATTGTAGGCAGATTTGGTAAGACAATTAGGAATTCTTGAATGGAGGAATTAGTTAAAAGAGAGAGTTTTTCCTACATTAAAAAAAGGGGAAACACTATTATAATGGAGAGAGTTAGGTACAATGGTTTAAATTTGAATACATTGAATACAATGGTTTAAATTTGAAACAATTAAATGAAGGCATATTCAACTAATCAACTTAACCAGGATTGACATAATATTAATTATCATTTTGATAATATTTATTGTTGGTTTGATAATTCTTAGTTTATCCTTTAAAAAGTTGGCTGTTGTGAGTGTGAAGATACAGGTCTTTGAAAAACTTATTAAAACAGATCAGAGAGTGACACAGTCATATCTGATGGGATGGCACAGCTGTTTGATAAAGATCCAGCGAAACTGAGCCGCACGGTGGCCACCATGCCATCTTTGCTTTTTATCTCCACCTGTTGCATACTTAAAAGATTTTTAATATTTGCACAATTTAGGACTATTGGACTTACGGGAAATTTCTTATGAATCATCTATGCTTTCTCCCAGGAGTGCTATTTCTGAGCTTTCCCAAGACAGTCCTGAACATGCTATTCCCCCTGCTTTAGGGAGATATCCTTATTTACTTGAAGGTCTTCCTTATGCCTAGGAGGTTGTAACACACGTAAAGAAACCAGAGGTCTCTTTATGAGGCTATGTGACATTTTTGAAACATCTGTCCCTGTACTTACTCAGGAACAAGATACCAAAACAAAGTAAACTTTCAAATGTCAACAAGATTCGGTGGGCTGGAGGAATTGGCCACAGTTCAGACTGCAAGCCTCTTCCAACTATACACTCAGGCATATGTGGCACATATAGCAACAAAGTCAGACTAGCTGGAGCTACCTCTGTCCTACACAGAGACATACTAACGGGCAAAGAATGATGCAGAAAGACGATAAAAAGTATTCTACAAAGAAATAAAATATAAACATTATATTATGCCAGAATTTGAATACTAACTGCAGCAGCTCGGGCCTGAGGGTATTTCCTGGGCACTCTGACCATTGAGAGTTAATAATACACTGCTTGGGATATGACAGCGTGCCGGGATGGCTTGACGATTGTTTTGGTCAAATGTTCTCATAGACATAGAAGCAACTAGTCTGAGAACAACTTGTCATATGACTCTAGATTCTTAAAAATTGGGTTATGAGCATCCTCGCAGGAATGGATCTGAGATACAATAACTATTGAATCTCATGACCATAACGATGCTTGGATAGGAGAGGTGATTTCTAGAGGTTTGAAGAGAAATCGAAATGCCAGGTGTTTCCATTATAGTAAACAAGGCCATCAAAAAAGGGACTGTAAACAGAGCATTCTTAGAAACTAAGTTTTGTCAAAACATAATCCCAACAGAGCTCCCCGCCTTTCTGGATTATGCAGAAGGTGTGGCAAAGGCAGACACTGGACTAATGAATATAGATCAACAAGGGACAGTCGCATAACCCTTTGCTGTTGGGAAATGCCTTGAGGAGCATCTAAAAGGTTCCCATGCTGAATTTGGTTTGGTCATTTCCTGTCGTTGTTGAGGAAGTTCCTTCTCAGAGCTATTAAAGAACTTAATGCCTCGTCTAAAAAATCATACTGCTCTAGATAATAAAACAGCTATAGAAGCGAGAACAAAAAATTCAGGAGAAACTAGAAAACAGATATTTTAGCAAAGTCCTATAAATGACCAAAACAAAGACCAAATTTAAAAATATAAATAAATGATGTTGTCATTGAAGGTCTGGTAGACACGGGTGCAAACGTTAACAATAATTGCACCAGAATCTTGGCATTCAAATTGGCCTCTTCATGAGGTAAATGTTCAGCTTTTAGGGATTGGAACTTTATATCAGGTAAAATAGAGCACAAGATGAGTAAAATGTATAGGATCAGAAGAACAGAGAAAAAAATTAAAGCCATAAGTGGCTACATAGCAATGAATTTATGGGAATGTGATTTGTTACAGTAGTGGAATATTCAGATTAACATTCCTCCAATCTCAGAAACAAACCATAAATTATCATATGTTTCTGAGAAAATATGAGAAGGCATTATAAAGAATATTCAATGACCATTTAGGTTGTATAAGAACAGGACACAATAGCTGCTAATCTTTCAAAGACACCAACAGCCCTACCTTTAAAATGGTTGACAGAAAAACCTCATGGGTTGAGCAATGGCCTTTAACATTAGAGAAACTGCAGGCTGTAGAACAGCTTGTACAGGGGCAGTTAAATGTTCAGCATATTGAAGAATCAACCATCCCTTGGAATTCTCTTGTATTTATTTATTATATTTGTATATATATGTATTATATTATATAATATGTTGTATATATATTTATTATATATTATTATACTTGTATTATTTTATTCATTGTAAAAAGAAATCTGGAAAATGGAGAATGGTAACATATTTAAGAGCTATTAATAAGGTGATTCAGCCAATTGGCTCTCTACAGTCTGGAATTCCTTCGCCTTCTCTATTACCTAAAGGATGGCCTCTTATAGTTATTGATTTAAAGAATTACTTCTTTACCATATTTTTACAAGAAAAAGACAGAGAAAATGTGCCTACTTATAATAATTATTATTCTTTTAAGAGATATCAGTGGAAGATTCTCCTACAGGGAATGTTAAATACCCCACCTTGTGCCAATATTTTGTACTCAGCCATTGGAAATGATACATAAGCAATTTCCTGAATCTATAGTTTACCACTACATGGATGACATCTACTAGCTAATGTGAATGTAGATGCTTTAGAAAGAAAGTTTGAAGAAGAAAATTTTTCCTTGTTGGAGATTACAAATTGCTCCTGAAAAAATATGAAGAGGAGATTCTATTAATTAATAGAATTATTTAGGCTATAAAATAGGCCAACAAAAAAATTAGACCTCAAAAGGTGCAAATTAGGAGAGATCAATTACAGACTCTTAATGACTTTCAAAAATTGCTAGGAGACATTTCCAATCTACAACCCACTGTTGAGGTAAAAAATGATGAACTCAGTAATTTGTTCAAAACCTTAAGCGGTGACAAGGAGTTAAATAGTCAAAGAAAATTATCATCTGAAGCTGAGAGAGATTTGGATTTGGTGGAAAAGAAATTGCAGGATGCATATGTGGATCGTTTGGATCCAAAGCTTGATTGAATTTTGGTTATTTTACCCTCTATTCATTCTCCTACAGTAATATTAATGCAGATGGGAGATATTACCTCAGAATGGATTTTTTTACCACATAAACAAAGTAAAAATTAAAAACTTATGTAGAAAAGGTCTCTGAGTTGATTCTGAAAGGAGAATTGAGACTTCATCAATTAACAGGAATAGACCCAGAAGAAATTGTAGATCCTTTTATTAGGAATGAAATTGACAAATTATGGGCAGAAAGTGAACCTTAACATGTCTGCTCCTGGCAGAACCAATCTATTTTGGAGAAGATGGTGGGCATTGAAGAATTCTACATGGAGTTTACTTTCTTTGTGACAAAAGTAAGCCACTGGGCAAGAAAGTGCCTTTGCCTTGACTGCTGACAGTATGCTGTCCAAACTGGACACACAGGACACATAAGAAAGGACTGTTGAACTTTGCCAAGACAAGGTCAGACAGTCCTTCAGAATATCCTGCTTCACAGAAAAGTCTGTCAGATATGCTAGGCCTCTAGGCCAATGATGGATGCCCCAATACTACAGATAATCTTGGGTGACTGTCCAGGGAGCCAGCTGCTTCTGTTACTTCTCACATTTTTTGAAAATTGCTTGCTTACACTTCCTGATTACTCAGGTAATATTATTTACATATCATGTTTCTGATGGAGTTGAAGACTTTATAGTTATAGTTTTCCTTGTTACCAGATTCAGAAAAGAAATTTACAAAGGTGGTGTAAAATATACAAGGTTGAGAGACATTAAAAATGGTTTTGATATTGCAAATTAGGACAGAAGGTAAATTAAGTACAATTTGGACTCACCAAGATAGAATAAATAATGCAGTATTTTCTCTGAATTTGTCAAATGCAAATGGACTGGACATTGGTGAGATATTTATTACCTGTATATATTGTTTATAGTTATATAGTTGTTCTACTGTTTTTGGTTTTTCAAGACAGGGTTTTCCAGTAGCTATGAAGCTAATTCTAGAACTTGCTTTGTAGATCAGACTGACCTCGAACTCAGAAAAGATTCATCTGCCTCTGCCTCCTGAGTGCTGGGATTAAAGGCATGTGCCACCACTGCCCAGCTATTGTATTTATTGTATACAGTTTTTTCTTATATTAATTATAACCTTTTTATTTTAGATGAAAAAGGGGGAATGTGGTGACATTTTGTTTGTGCTCTAACAAAGCTTTTCTGGAGATTTGAGTGCAGAGCTAGCCACTAATTAACCACAGAGGCCAAGTAGTGGTGGCACACATCTTTAAGCCCAGCACCTGGAAGAGGAGGGAGCAGGAAATAATGTGGCTAGGCAGAGAGAGGAAGTGAAAAGGCAGGACAGAGACAGAAGCATGACCCCTTTTCCCTGAGGAGTTGGTGAGGGAAGAGGTGGCTGTGGGTTGATCCTTTGTCTCTCTGATCTTTCAGCATCTACCAACTATCTGACTCCAGGTTTTTATTATTAAGACCAATTATAATTCACACTACAGTTTCCTTGCCCTCTGGTTAAGCTAAACATCATGTTAGCACCCTGAAGGTGGACTTGGGGGGGTCACATTAAACAGATCTCATTTCTCTGCTTTTTATTATGACATTTTGAGGACAAAGCACCAAACCTCACTTGCTGGAGCTACCAAGACCAGGTTTTGAGCCTAAAAACTCCAGTGATAATTTTGGCATACTTAGCCAGAAGAAAAAGACACAGTTTGGGTGGCAACCACTTAGCAGGTTGATCCTAGAGGGAGAAGAATGAATCAACAGTCCACCTAGCTGCCAGAATCACTTTATGCCAGGGGCTCTGGTAAATCAGAGACCCGAGATGTGAGTGTTTGGGCTCTGCAGACCCTAAAGTCTCACCTTTGCTAAGTTCTCCTTGCTCAGTGCACCTT